CAAAATTGCTCAGAGATTTGCAACTTTCTGAAGTTATGTCTGCATGACTACACCTTAAAAGTGAAACTCTTAGCAGAATTTGCTGGGTTGCATAAGCTAAAAAAGGGGTCACCATGAATGTGCAGGGGCATGCAACCCTGGGCAGTCCCAATCCCTCCTTATTCTGACTAACCAAGGGGATTCCTGCCTCTCGGGAGGGCTGACCTTAAGGTAGCAGTCCTCCCCAAATAGAAACTGACAGAAGGCTCAGCCTCAAAGGTAACCAGCTGGCTTCCTTCAGGTCAAACTGACCAGGCCATCTGCAATTGGCTGGGCTGCAGCCAGAAAAATCTTCAAGAGGGTCATCTTGCCCATACTTAGGTTGATGTTTTCTTGAACTATCCACAGCAATTCCATTTTCCTTCCCTTCCTGAAGAATCACCATCAGGATCTATACTTTTATGTAAACTGATAAAAATGATACAGCTAGATTTATAAAAGTGAACATAGAGATCTCTCTAATTTGAAAGAAATGATTACTAAAACACATCACTGACATTTGAAAGATAAAATGTATATGTAAGTTATAATTTTTCAGAAAAAATTATCAGACATTTTCCCTGAAAATATTTCAATATTCCAAACTGATTTGATCTAATGTAATAAATTTGACTAGGAATGATGAAGAAAACACAAATATTAAGGTACACTTAGCTTATAATCGTAAAGGCATTTAGAAACAAACCTCCGAGCATGAGGTATTTTTTAGGTCCAAACCCTCTTCTTGCAATCTGGATTCATCTACAATCAACATGTGGAGAGGAAGCAAAAATGTGCTACACAGACCTCCCCGGGGGTGGGGGTACTTGATGTGCACAGATCGGGGGGGGGGGGGGGAGATGGAGACTCAGAGAAGTTGAGGCAGCAGCTATGACTGCCCTGTTTTCTTAGGGCAACCAAAGATGGACAGAAGAGACGGGGGCTGAAGTAACTTGAAAAATGAAACTGTTTACTAATTAATTTTAGGGAAACAAATTTGGATGGAATTACAGCAATACTCCCTATCCCTTTCTTGAAGTCCCTTCCTGGCTGTAGTGTTGCCTAGAAAACCATAGAGGGTCTCCCACCCCTTTAGCAGCCAATAATGAAGCCTGAAGCAATTCCTAAACACCATCGAGTGAAGTTTTCACGGGAAACCTCTGTCCCCACAGAAGGACTCAAGTGCACCAGAACACCCAGCAGATCCTCTGGCCCTTTCAGAAGGAGTCCTCCTTTCCCATCATGTAGCCCTTCTGGCTCCCTTCAGAGCCGGAGCAGCCAAATTTATCCAAACTCTGCAAGCCACCCAGCTATCCCAACCAGAGGATCTCTACTGGCTATGGCTGTTGGGCATGGCTGCCCTTTCCCATCTCCTGTGATGTTCATGCCTGCTCCAAAGAGCCTCAGTTGGGGCTCACCCCATTTCAGCCACCCTAGAGGCCAAGCCTCAATCTCCTCCTCCTCTTCTCCCTCCATGACCAGGCGTGGCCAAGGGGGTAGTCCTCTCACCCAAATGGGCTCCACCCAGCTGCACCCCTGGACCCAAACAGGTGCACAGCCTTCCGCAAAAGCACACTGGGATTAAGACTGTTGCCTGACCACAAAGGCCACAACCCAGCCAGCAGCTGAGAGCGGAGGAATCATCAGCCAGACAAAGTGGAAGGGCCAAAAAACCATAGCCAACCACTTCTTTCAAAGCAGACTCCCCAGCTGCAACCTCAACCAACCCACCCCAATTAGTGTGGAAGGGAACCTTCTTCGGTGCAGTGCGTACTATACTGTGGAGGCCGAGATCTCCCAGTAGGTAGAAATTAAAGGAGGCTTACATCACCCCAAATGTCTTGTTTGTTTGTTTGTGTATGTGTGTGTGTGTGTGTATGACGCCCATTTCATGGTTTTAGGCAACTTTTTGGGTTTTGGTTTTTTCTGCCCAGTTTTGAAGGACCAGACTTACTTCAAGGAGCCCACCGCGAGAAGTTAATAATCCTTGCACCCTCCAGCTTTTTGCAGCCCCAGCTGCATCTGGGGAACCCACCCTTGTTTCATTGTCTGCTTCAGAAACTCTGATGATCTGCAGTCCATCTGTCAGCTGCTCTACCCAGAAGATGCTGGCAGTGCTGCCATTTTGAGAAAGGCAGGCAGTATTTACCCAGCGACTTACTGTAATCATGCCTACCTTAACAGGTGAGATGCCTGCTTCATTCTTATCCTGTGGCATAGAGGAGGAGGCCCACTCCACTGTTATCCCCCCATCCCCAAGCTATCATGTCTGTTATTCCCAGGGCACTGTTTGGCAGAAAGGAGGGCTGAGAGCTGAAAGGAGGGCTGGGTGTCCTTCCCCAACTCCTCTGTTCCTTTCAGCCCAAGCCCAACAGGGAGAGCAGCCCATGAACTGTGTGGCTGTGGCCGGCAGAGGGACCCCCACTCACTGCCAGGTTTCCCAGCCCCGAAATTGGGCAGCTGGCTTTCCATCTGGGTGGCAGATACAGCTCTGGGGCAAGTCAACAGCTCCAGCTTCCTCTTTTGCTGCTTCATGGGTGACAGGAGCTGATGAGGACAAGCCTGGGAAGGAGCAACTAGGGCCGCTGCTGCCTCCTCCTCCTCCTCCCTGACCCACTAGCCCCTTCCTTGGGGCTGGGACCCTGCGGCTGCCCCATGGTAGACTCGCCTTGCTCCCTCTGCTCAGCCTGTTCCTTCTGCAGTGGAGGGGGTGACCTGGCTGCCCAGGGGAACGACCAGCAACACGTTTGCCCAGCCCAGCGCAGGGACTGACTCTCAATCAACACAATCCAAGGGAAGCCTTAGAGAAGCAAGACTTCTGGACCTGGACCTGGGGCTCTCGGCCTAGCAGGGATGGCCCAGAGGAGGAAGAAACAGAGAGGAGAGAACAGGAAGTGCCTGGAATCCTGCTTCCCCTCTTGCCTCTTGTTTTCTCTCCCCCTGCCCAATTCTGTATCAGGCAGTCAAAAGACAGGAGAGGAACTCTGATTGAGACATTTCCTCCTGGCTACTGGTGGTAATTTGGCATACACTAGCGTGTGTGTGTGCATGCACCCACATCCAAACCACTAGTCAAAAAAATTGAGGAAGCTCACTCACTCACGTTCCTTCACTTCCCCAGCCTTGTTTCAGGCCTGCAGTCCAGGAAAGCCCCCCATGCCTTTCCTGGCTTCCCTGGGGGAATGTCCATAGACAGCCGGGCTGAGGCCAAGGCTAAGGCCAAGGGGGGTCCAGGAAGGAAGCCCAGCCCTCCTGCTCCTGGCAGGCAAGGCCAGAACTGGCCTAGGGTGGAGAGTCCTGCACGGAAACCCGGCCTGCTGGATCCTGGTACCGAGTCCCAACAGGACCTGAATGCACCGCTCAGTCTTCCAATATCTCAGGGGCTGCCACAGAGAAGAGGGGTCGACTTCTCCTCCAAGGCCCCTGAAAGCAGGACAAGAAGCAACAGATGGAAACTAATCAAGGAGAGAAGCAACCTAGAACTAAGGAGAAACTTGCTGACAACTGATTAGAACAACCAATCAGTGGAACGGCTTCCCTCCAGAAGTTGTAGGTGCTCCATCGTTGGAGGTTTTAAAGAAGAGATTGGACAACTATTTGTCTGAAATGGTATGAAAGGGGCTTCCTGCTTGAGCAGGGGGTTGGACTAGAAGACCTCCAAGAATGCTCCCAACTCTGTTATTTTGTTATTTTGTAAATACTGCTTAGCAAGTTCAAAATGGAAAGAAAACACTTCAAAATATGGAACAGTGTTAAATAACTACATATATACATACCCACCATCTTTTGAGATAAGCCATGTTTATATGATCACAGAAAAGAAGCAGAAAATAGTAGGCGTCCTAACATATGCTGCAAAATGTTTGGATTTTCAACTACCAACATGACATTATCTACATTCAAAAGTAACACCAAAAATATTCTTTATACTAATATACGAGAAAAGGGGGAATTATCACCTCTGCTTGCCCGCTTGCCTAGACCGTTTGCTAAGCATTCCATTTGTTCTCATGTACAGTATATTTTATTCCTATCATATACCATTCTTACCACATTCAGCAATCACCTTTCAAATCCATATTCATGCAAAACATTTCATAATTCAAGCCAATTTATTTGTCAAATGTTTTCTCTGCATCAAGGTACTTCAAAGCTAAAACACAGAATTATGGAGGGAGGGAAACCCAAAGGAGGGGAAAAGGGCAACAGGCGGAGCAGGTCCCCAAGACGGCCCCATACTATTCTGGACAAAAGTCTGTCCAAACTCTCCTTGAAATCCTCCACTGATGGGAGGCAGCCTGTCCTACTCAGACAGGGAGCACAGGAGAGACCATATGAGGGCAGTCTTAAAGTAAGCACCCCACCAAGATCTCTTCATTTCTCCTTGATTTTATGGCAAGGCACTAAATATTTCCCAAAGTATTCCCAAATTCTCATTCACCATTTCTTTTTGTCTCCTTGCTGACCAAACGCCTTGATGCATCTCATCTGAGAGAAATCTGATTTCTCTCGGGGAAAGAATCAGAAGCCTTTGGGCTGCATGCAGCTTTCCTAGAAGCTGCCAAGGAGGCCATGAGGCAAGGGGCCCTCTCTCTCTCACACACTCCGGCTTCTGCAGAAGGGCCCGAGCCATCCTTATCATCATTGCCAACAATGCCTGCAAAAGGCATTATCAACACAAACCAAGCTGGACCCCTGCCCAAACGACTGTGTTGAGCACCTTCGACCGGACTGCAGCTGAGACCTTTGGAAATCACTGGTTGCTAGAATCAGGCTCCCTGCACCAGACAGGTTCAGACTCCAGAATTGGTGGAAACATCCGATTGCTCTGGACAGATCAGAAATCTCATCGGTATCAGCCACGTGCAATGTTAAAGGGAGATACACCAGCTTCTTGCCTAAATGAAACACGCACATCACTGGAATTCCACCACATGCAATGGGAGCATGACTACAATCTGCTGGTCAGGAAGGTCACTCACCAGTGTCAGTAGCTGGGCACTGCTGGATGGTGAAGATTTGGCCCAGGTCCTCCTCTTCCTCAGGAAGGGTTTTCTGCAAGCACTTCAACTTTCGAAAACTTTCGGTTCGCTGGTGCTTCATGGAACGTACATGCTGAATAAGATTGAGCTTGGCCTTGGTGGAGTAGTTGCAGAGGACGCAGTGGTAGAAACAGCCGTCCCCCTCCAGTCCGCTCTCGTGGTTCTGAAGGTGCTACAGAGAGAAGCATAAAACAAACCCACCCCCAGGTGAGAAGCAGAGGAACCACTAAGCTCCCTCTGGAATCTGGATCTCAACTTCCAGATTCCCCGTGCCCCTTTTTCCCTCTTAGCACTGCAACGGCATCTTGGGAAAAACAGTCCCATCTTCGACAAGCAAGATGTAAGTCTTCTACTTTCAAGAGATACTTGCTTCCAAACTCATCCTGAAGTCACATCCATGCTCACACTTACTAGAAGTCATTTGAGAGTTCTCAGCAGGATAATGCTGTTCTATCTAATAGCTACCTTATTGAGAAAAAGGAGTCTCTGGACCAGAACTACTTTGTTCATCTAATAAAGCAACTGGTTCCTAAGGAAAAACCTGGTTGGTTTCCAATCCACCCACTTTGAAAGCAGCCCTTTCGTCTCTGGATCAGACGCTTGAGATGTGGAAGGAAACAGGGCAGCGATGAAGGAGAAGATGGGAGAAAGCCCTATTTCCTTGCTGCTACCCTGGCTGGCACAGCACCCAGCTTCAGATGGCACAAAGCGCTGCTCCTCAGAAGCTCTACTTGGTGTCGCCAGGCCAGGCCCCTTAGCCCATCCTCCAGTTAACATCCCTCTCACCCATCTACTGACACAAGATGGATGAGAGGCAGGTTGCTTGTCACTAAATATTTGTTTTGTGTGGTCTATATACACACACCAAACACAAAATTATGTAGGCTACTTTTGGAGGAAATGAGCAAGTAAAAAAGAAATCAACAATTCTCCACTAGAAGACAGCATCCGTGCTCTTTGGGACTGAACTCCATCCGGAAACCACTAAAATAGCTTTATTGTTACAAAAGAACCCCCCCCCCAAGAATCTATTATGCCTTCTGCGGGTCATTAGGAAACTCCAAGCAACAGGACAGGATGATCACCTTCTTCAATCTGGACGGCCGTATTGCTTCCTCCGGAGAAGCTCCCAGTCAGAAGTTCCCAAGAGGGGGGTTTTCATATACAGAATGTAAATCTGGATCCCTTCACTTTTCGAGCTGGATCAGATAGATCAAAGTCCATCTGATCTGAATGATGTTTCTGCAAACCACCCTGTCCCCCTCAAGACCACTCATTCAAGAGAGATTGTGGCACGGGGCAGGGTGACAGCAACCTCTCTTCACGGCACCTGATATTCTCAGAAATGGCAATTACCTGCAATCACCCAACGACACCCCAGGAGGGGCAAAGAAGCTACCAACTCTCCTCAGGGTCATCCCTACCACGGGGCAGAGGAAAGGGGCAGCGGTTATCATGAAAGAGGCTGCAGTCTTACTGCCCAGAAGAGGGATTTTCTGCCACAGATCAGTCTTTGACACCTTTGCTCTTCCCCTCATCCGAGGGTCTCATGCCAGTCTAGGTAGCTCAGGTGAGAGCAGAGAAAGGGAGGGCTGGGCACCCTGCAAGCAGGCGGCTTCAGCTGGAGCTCAGAGGAGGCAGAAGAGCTGATTCTCAAACAAGTGGCCACCTAAAAGGAGAGGCAGAGGACAGAAGCCAGGCAGGCAGGCTGGCACATTTGCTACAGGTGGCGGTGATCGATTTCACAGAAGTTTAGATTTCTTCCACACACAACCGGTGCAGTAGCAAGGCAGAGGCCCCCCTTCTCCCTCACTCTCAGTGAAACAGGAGGGTGGTAGCATGCCAAGACACTCATGGGTGAGGCCCTCCCCCCAGACCCCTCCCAGATCAGCACCGGCCACTTTCCCCCCCCCCCTGTTTTGCTCCAAGTCTTGCAGTCATCAGACCTGGATTTGAATCCCTCTCCCATTCCCCACCAATAACTGGCTGTGGGATTTTGCTCCACCTTCCAAGCCTCATTAAAAGCCTGCATTGCTCAGCCTCAAGATGGAAAGCTCAGCATAGATTTTACTGAATGTTAAATCAAGCAGCAAGCACAGCCAGCAAACTCTGTGGCACTTTAACTTTAAATAATGCAATAATTATTGAATTTCCTTTTTATAACTGAAGTGCTGGAATGTAAACAATGGGGCTGTAATTGCAGGAAGGAGGGATCAATAGAGGCAATCGTTTTCAGCCATGTTAATTGTAAATACAATTGCTCCAAGATGTCAGCCTTGTTCCTCTCGCTCCAGAATCACCCTAACGGATGACAGAGTCCAACTTTCCCATTATAGCTGTTCGTTCCTTTAAGAGGTTCTCAATCAGGTCTGATCAATCTGTCAAGATAATGCATGGAGTAAGTAAGACTCTTCCAAACACAAATGCCCAATCAATAGCCCCAACCAGCTTAATGAGGAGGGGCTACAGCCCCCAGGGAGGCAAGAGCCAGCTTCAGCAGGCCAACTAAGCAGATCAACCCTTAACGAGGCTGCCCTGTAGGCAAATGCCGAGGGCAGTAAAGACCCTCTCCAGGGACAGCAGGAAGGCCCAACCGAGGCAGGCTGGAGGGTCCTGGCCAAGCTCCGCATCGATCATCCCAAGCGACAGGAGACCCAATGAGCTTGGCTGTTTGCTTGTAGACATTTCATTACCCAACTAGATAACATCATCAGTGTGAATGAATATGGGGTTTGGTCCCTATTTATATACAGTAGCTTGCCTGCTAGTGATACACCATTCAAAAGGGACAATAAAAAAAAAACTAAGAAAGAAACAAAAAGATCAGAACACATCCTTTCCAACAGCCAATATCCAAATAAATGGGGATGAACATCAGATAAACAATCACACAGGAAACAATTCCCCAATCAAGGAACCACCAAGGAGAAAACCACATCTCCACTGAAACTGCAATGGCAAGTTACTGTATGTAAACATACCCCATACTCACTCACACTGATTGTTGGAATATTCATGAGCAGGAAGAGTCATGTGGTAACTCAGTCAGCCAGTGGGAAGAAAGTGCTACTGAGTCTGTGCAAAAGAGTATTGAGTTAGGAGCTGGATTTCCAGTCTCAGGTCTGTCTCTGTATCTTTCTGTAAGAAGTCTTCAATTGAGCTATGTTGCTGTAAAGAAGAATGTATGGTATTGTAAATATTTTTATATGAATATAAAGAAGTTATTTTGAATCAGCTAAATGCAGTCAACTGTGAGAGCTTCTGATTTATTTTTTCATCAATAGAGAAATTAAAATTATCTAACACTGATATTGTTACCTAGTTGGGTAGTAAAATGTCTGCAAGCAAACAACCAAGCTCAGAGAACACCAAGGATTCTAGAGAGTTGAACCCTAAGCTACTTATATTCTTTTCTTTTAGAGATGGACAATTCCCCTTCAAGGAGACTTATCTCCATATAGCAACTATTTTGTCAGGTTTACCAGCTGGTTGCATGCAGCTTAATTCTTTGCCTGAAATAAGAATTATCAGTTATAATTACAAACAATTGCGTGAACTGCCTTAAATTCCTACAGCAACAGCCTGTGGCAGGATATAGTAGTTCTGTAATCAAACAGCCTTGAGAATACATGGTGAATGGAAGTGTGACATTGCATAAAAAAGTAAATAAAATAAAGGATAGTTGTATCTCAAGCATACGATATTTAAAAACACCCATTTGGCTGAACATCAGTGAGGATGAGCTGGCCTGAAAGGAGTAAAATTCCCACTCCCTTACCAGCTCTTTTTCCTACCAGCTCTCAAAAGACCTAGCACCCAGCATTTCTCAGGAAAAGGGTGCTGGGCAGAATGAGAACCTAAACTTTGCTGAGATATGTGGACCAAAAATTCAGCCCCCGGCAGACCCTAGCCATCAATTGAACCCTCTGCCCCTTTCATCAGCCCCCCCCCCCGTTCTAAGCAGCAGGACCTTTCTCTTCCTTGAAATGACTTCAACTGTGGCAGCCACGATCTGAACACCAGTTATCAATTGGCACTGACCAGGTTCTTGGCTAGCAACATGGTGCCTTTGAGATCAAGGAAAGGTGCTTCTCTGTATCAACTGTAGGAGAAGAACATGACATGATCTGCTGGAAGTGTTATCTGCTTGTTTCTTGTGGAAACAGGAGGCAACGGACTTTTATTCCGTCTCAGCACCTGTCCGAGGACGGGGGGGGGGAGGGGAGGGCCTGAAAAGGGAGCCTCTTCCCCAGACCAAGATCCATGCTGGCTGTCCAAATAATGTGATATGGACAACGCACACCTGTTGGATTCATGAGCTGCAAAACACGAACCCTCTCGATGGAGGAAATCTCCCTTTTGTCAGGAAGCAAAAAGTGAATCCTCTCACTGAGATGAGCAAGGATCACCACTGTTGATCACCATTGCTTAAAATCTAACAGGGCAAATCTGACCTCAAGCAGTGAGTTGGTCTCCAGCCCCTCTCCAGCCCCGCAGTTCCACCACACCAAGAATTGTTTCAGGTGGGGAGCTGGCTGCATCTGAGCAACTTCTATTGGGTGGGAAATGGGCAGGATTTTTTATTTGGTCTATCTGCAAAATAATTATATAGCTGTCTTTTCTTCATTCAACATTATGATGATTCATGCTGAAGTTACATCAACAATACTTTGTTTCTGTATTTTATTCTGTCTTATTAGTGGGGAGTAATAAAACTAATTTACAAAAAGCCCCAGGGCCAAAGCAAAGCAAACTGACCCAGCTTTCTTGGGAAAGGAGTCAAGAGTCCACTCCAGCCAGGAACTCCCCCCCCCAAAAGGCCTCTCCCCCACTTTTTCTGCCAGGGAGAATGGTGCCAGAAACAATGGGCCAGGGGGAAGGGGCTCCCAGGGCTGTTTTCCTCACACTGAATATTTCTGGAGCACTGCCAGCCACTGAAGGCAGGATGGCACACATTGCATTTCATCTGTGTGGTACCTGGAGGCCAGGGAGCAACAGGAAGAAAGGAGAATGACGGTGGCCTGGCAAGCCTGGTGCTCTCTCACCCGGCCAGCGTCTGGGGAGGATTTTCTCCCTCCGAGAAGCAAGAGCTGGATTACACCCAGTTAGCTGCACTCTAAACTAATTAGGCAAGTGCCAGGAAAAGGAATGAGGTTAGCCAGAGGAGAGGAATGTCCCAAGGGCCTCCGCCAAGGAGAGTAGGGCTGGGGCCAAGGAACCTACCGGGCCAGGTCCCATACCAGGCCAGTCTGCTGCTCACCACGCCACAGGCAGACAGCACCCAGCAGGGCTGCCCCACAGAAAGAAAAGGGGCAGTTGCATCCAGAACCACCTCCTTGCTCCCATCAAGAAGCAGGAACCAGCAGGTGAAACCTCTGGCAACACAAGGGAGGGGCTCTGGGACCCCCTCACTCCGGCTCACAGAAGATGCACGCAGGCCCATCATCCTCAGAGAAGCCTGCTTGGCTTTCAAAACCTAGACTGCCTCTGGGGGCGGGCGGGCTGAACTCCAGAGACAGAGGCAGCCTCTGGAGGGGAAGGGAGGAGAGTAGGAAGGAAGGGCTGGAAACCAGGAGCGCAGGAGGCCAAAGCCCGGAAGACGACGTGTCTGGGGAGCAAGGCTGCCGCTTAGATTTATCGCAGGTGGTGCCCGATTGTTCATACTAAAGCCATTACGGGATGATTAGAGAAAAAGGTGAAGCTCTGAGTCCAGGGAAAATCAATACAAGCGTCTGGAGCAATTCTGCCACACCAGGGAAAGGACTCTTTACTGCAGGCAGGCAGAGGGGGGGGGGGAGCTGCAGCCAGACCCAGTGGACAAGGGAGAGTGTTGCCCTTCAATGGCCCTAATCGGCCTTGGGGACAGCAGTACCCTAGACGGCCCCAGGGCCCATCCCGAGGGCCTTGCAGCCCTGCCTTGAGTGAGGCAGCCTGGGAGACAGAGGATGAAATGAGGTCAGACTGTCAGCATTGCCCAGGACAGACAACGTGGGATACAAAGTGGGGCTACCCTCTGGCTTGCTGTGCTACATGTGCAAATGGCAATATGGATCTGGACTGCGCTGCCCGTCCCACCGGCACTCACTTGCTGCTGACTTCTGTCAAACAGTCTGCAGAGACTGGAGAGCAGCCCACCCAGGACATGGGCCAAGAGCCTCAGTAGGCAATGGTGAGAAGTGGTGCCTACTGGCTGGAGCCCACCCGCAGGCCCACCTATCCTGTGGCCCCCCTACCGCCTCACCTTGTACAGCTTCAGGCTAGCCTCGTGCCTGGAATTGCTGGTGTGAAAGCGCAGCTTCTCCAGGCTGTTGGTATAATAGTCACAGGCGTTGCACTTTAAGTGCACTGGATTCCCGATTGCCACGCACTTGAGATGCCACTCGTTGGTCTTGCCACCCTCCTTGATGTGCGCCAGCAGCTGGTACTTCTGCAGGTGCTTCTCGGTCTTGCAGTGCAGCTGGAAGTTGGCCTTGAGCTGTGTGCTGTAATGGCACAGCTTGCATTGGTAGGCCTCCCCCACAACCCCCTTCCATTCCTCCTCGGGCAGGCCCCGCTCAGCCTTCAGGTGCAGCCCCAGAAGGTCCAAGGTGTCGGTGGTGAACTTGTTGCACACAGAGCACTGGAATAGCTTCAGGGAGGGGTCGCTGGTCTGGGCAAAGGTCTCTCCCAGGTTCATGAGCTCCTCGGACACTAGCTGCCCTCCCCCGAGCCGTGGGTCCAGAGGAATCTCTCCTCCCACTGTGCAGAGAGAGAAGAAAGGCAAGTCAGAGAGGCTCCCATACCCACTTCCAGTGGACTCTCAGCTCTCAGCTCCAGTGCAGGAGTCTGACCCAGCTGGAGCATGAATGGGTAACTCCCCACATGCTCGGCTCTCCCATCACAATGTAACCCAGGAGCTCCTGAAGCGTACGCCTGTCCCCCACCCTCAGAACTTTGCTGGGAAGCAGGATCTCTGAAGTCCACAAGGCTGGGGGCTGGGCTAAGGCTTGGGCTCAGGAGCCGAGACTATGCTGGCTTCACTAATCGGGACAGTGTAGTAAGAGTTTCCAAAGGGCACAAATAAATGTGAAACCAGAATAGCTGGAGTCATTTCAAAAATACCAAGGTGCTGTGTAGCACTTTCAGACCAGTATCACCATCTCTTCTTGCATTCCTCTTGGCCCCGGGGTTGCCTGTTAACATTCCACCCCGTGGGGCTATTCAGCATCTCCTGTGGACGTGGCCCACACAAACACGCCATGTAGTACAGGATGCCTGTTGTTTTGTTCTGTGTGATCATGCTGACATCCCCACATCTCTTCAAGTTCAATTAATAGCATTTGTTTACTATACAGTTTCTGTTTTAGTTTTTATTCTATTCCTATTTTCCCATCTAACAAAGATCATAGTTGATTAAACACATGATGAAGCACTTTGCCATTTTCTTCCTCATTGCTTTTTGGACGGGCATCAAGGCATCCATCCTCTTGATACTACATAAATTAGAAATGCAATTCCCCAATTGTAGGAAATAATAGTTCTACTAACGACCACTGCTGTGGAGGCTTTCATCTGGATTCCTGAGCTGAGCAGGCTGGGCTGAGCCTACAGCCTCTTCCAGATGGAGGGCTCCATGGGAGACAGACATCAGGTTTCTCAAGCAGGAAAGCAACTCCTGAAGTCCTCTGAGGCTACAGCGTGCAATTTTCTCCCAAACCTTTCCCATTTCTCAGCCTCACCAGGTGAAACCTATGGCGATCTTTGAACCAGAGAGTTCCACAGCAAAAGAGTGAAATTATGCGTTGATGCGAACCGACTATCGCAGGCTCTGGAGAAAAGGCAGCCTCTCTGAAGTGGGGCACAGAGATGGGGAAGCGGCATCAGATCCAGGCCACCATGGGCCACAGAGGGGAGGAGCCCAAAGCAAAATTGGTGCCAACTAAGGGGCTCCATGCAGGTGCATTGGGCTTCCTTGGCACTGGGCAGACAGGAGCAGGCTGCCAAGTGAAGGATAAAACAGAAAGCAGCCCCAACAATCCCCGTGCCCTGGCAAGGTCCCCAGAAGAGGATGGCTCCTCCCCGCCTTTCCATGGGGCAGCCTCCTCCTTCCCTGGACAGCCCTCGGATGGCCCTGAAAGAAAACCTCCCAAGAGAAGCGCCCATTTGTGTTTGGTTCCAGGGGCCTCCTGGGGTCTCATGCACATGTATGTCCCCCCCTTCCAACCGGGAAAGCGAACGCCTGAGTTCGGGGGGGGGGTGGTCCCTTCCTCTCCTCGCCAGCCCTGAGGCGCCTTCTGGAATATAGGATATCCTTCTGTTCTCCCTCTCCAGAGAGCCCTGGCCTCCACCTTAGCAAAGGTTGCGACCATTGGCTGGAATTGTCCAAGAGGCTAGGACAAGGGAGCTTATTTAAGGAAGGGCAGTGCAGCTTCCTGACTGTCCTCTCTTCTCCAAGGAAGGGATCTTGAGATTTCAAGCTCAGGAAGGGAAAACGAAAGGCTTGCGGACCTCAGGATCCATGCTTTGCCCCCTGCCTGTTTCAGAGCAGGGGCTCTGTTACCCAGGAGAAGTGAGTTCCTTTATCCCCGGTGCAACTCTGGCAGGCTGCAAGATGAAGAAGGATCATGGGGTGTCATCTATCCCCACATGAAAGCCCGCTTTCTGAAACTGGAATTGGGCCAATGCGATGACACATACCCCAGCCAGCCTGTTCTCCAGAGAGGAGGATGGAAAGGAAGTGGGGAGATTTTCCCCGCAGTGTGAAGAGCTTCATCTTTGTCTATGGAGATTCTCAGTCCTTCAGGTCATGCTTATCCCAAAGGATAAGTGGACTTTCTTGTTTTTCTTTGAAAATGTTTTACTTCTCATCCAAGAAGCTTCTTCAATTCTGACTGGATGGTGGGGAATGAAAGGATTTATATTTCTTGCAAACAGTTGGTCATTTGCATTCTTTTAGAGAATCTTTGAGGTCACCTGAAGGTTTAATTGTGTCAGCAGTTCCAAGAAGGCTCCACACCTATTTGCACTACTCAGGTGATCCTGACAGATAAATCTCCAGGTGGCCTCAACAACTCTCTAAAAAAATGCAAATGACCAGCTGTCTGCAAGGAGTATAAATCCTTCCATTCCCCATCATCCAGTCAGAGATGAAGAAGCTTCTTGGATGAGGTGAAACTTCTTCAAAGAAAAACAAGAAAATCCAGTTACAGTGAAAAAAGCACCTTCTTTTCAAAGCTTCATCTTTGCAGACCAGGTTTCAGAACTGCACATCCACAGGAAACACCATCTGTGGCACAACACAATTTGCATAGGAATATGACACCACTGGATCCTTCAATGGACACTCGGTCTCTTCTGAAGCAGTGAAGTCTCTTCATCAAAAAGTTTCAACAAAATTCCTCGCTATGTGCATCTTTTTCTAGCCATGAAATTAAACAACTCTGATCAGCTCTGTAATTAGGGGAACACTTTCACTCAAGGCTACTGAAAGCACTTGAAGCAAGTGCATCTCAAGTTGGAAACAGCCTTCCCTGGACCAGTTGTCACGCTGAATTACAGAATTGCCAATCATGAGTTCCTACTAAGGAACTGGCCCTGTTATACACGGGAGAATCCCACCCTCTTAAACCTGCAAAAGAGCTGCTGCTGCTGCTGCTGCTGCTGCTGCCTCCGTCTTGGGCCACAGCAGAAGTTTCCCCTTCTCCCCAACTCTGAAGGGCCCAGCAGCCTGGAAAAGTCTAGGCCAAGCAAGTCTGCCACCACTATCACCCTACTGCCACCAGCACAACCACTGCAGCAGGGAAGGCTTGGCTGGCCAAGACGGTGACCGAGTGGATGCTGGCAACTCTAAGCCAGGTAAAAGGAAACCAGATGAAGCTGGCAATTAGGCACAGGGGGTCCACTGCCTTTCTGCATTTCCAGAAGACCCTCACCCCTCTCATCAAGACCTCTAATGGCACAGACTTAGAAGGGTCTTGTGGTTTTGGCTTGCGGTAAGAGCCTGCATGCAGAGGAAGCCCCGTCTCTCCTTCTCCCCTGGCCCCAGCAGCTGAAACTCCTTCAAGCATAACCGCTGTCCCAGCCCAGAAGGAAACCCAGGAGCTGAGGGGCTTTGTCACCGTCCCATGCCCACATGGGCAACTCTCTACTAAGAGCAGGTGCTGCCGGAGGGCTGGACGGAAAGACAGCACCTTCCTCTCCAATTACACGAAAAAATACCGGGACAAGGCAGGCCATCTCACCTAGGGATGGGGCCACGGAGGTCATGGTGTTGGTGGGCTCCACTTGGAAATTGCTGCCTGCCAGGAACTGGGCCTCGGAGGCTGGGCTGCTGTCCATCTTCAGGTTCTGAGCCAAGTAGCACTGGTAGAGCTCAGCCTCAGCGGGCAGGCTGCCTAGGCCCAGGTGGCGTCTGGGCTGCACCTGGCTCATGTTCTGCTGGAGCAGCACCATGTTGTGCATGTGCTTCTCGCTAGTCATGTGGATGCGGAGGTTCCTGGCCACATTGGTCTCGTAGTCACACACCTCACATCGCCAGGTGGATTTACTTTTTGGTTTGCTGGGAGAGGGGGCCCCACAGCCACCACCAATATTGGCAGTGGCTGCCGTGGCCACAGCCACAGTCCCCGCTGCATGGCTGAAGACTTGCTCCCCACTGCCGTTCTGCAGGTTCTGCATGTTGTTGAGATGCTTGTCTGACTGCATGTGGATGCTGAGATTGCCTTTGGTTGTGGTCGAGTAGTTGCAGACCTCGCAGCGGAAAGGCTTGTAGCCACAGGTGTAGCTCTCGCCCCGGGCGAGCCGAGGGTGCAGCTGGCCTGACTGGCAGAAGGCGCATGCCCCTCCCGGCTCTGGGTGCTTCTCCTTCATGTGGGCCTCCAGCGTCTGTTGGTACTTGTAGTGCCAGTTGCACTTGGGGCACTTGAGGGTCTTGCAGGAGTTGCGCGAGTGCATCATAGTCATGTGGCCCCCCAGGGAGCGCGAGGACCCCAGGACAGTGTCACACTTGGGGCACTCCACCCCACCCCCCAGCTCACAGAGGGGTCCCTCGTGCTGGTGGTGGGCAGCACAGAGCCCGTCTTCCCCCTCGAGGCTGTCGTTCGGTTCCGGGGCATCGTCTCTGTTGACATTTTCCTCTCCCAAGTCCAGCCTCTGGCTACCTTCACTATTAAAGCTCAAACAACTCCTCCTATTTGCACCATCAAAGACAAAGGAAGAAGCAGAAGGAGAACCAGAAGCTGAGCCACTCGACCCTGCCTGAAGCACGTTAGGCATTAAGGGAGATATGCTTTGGTTTGAGAGAGCAAGATCCTTCGGGCTGCTGCCACTGCTTGCCACCGACCTGGTCTCAGAGGCGGCAGGAAGTTTCTCCTCTGGGTCCTCCCCCAGCCTGTGTGGAAATAGCCCTTTGCTACCCCCGCCAGCCCCCTCCTCCTCCTCCCCAGCTGATTCCACCTTCGCCAAGCAGCTGTCCTGCGCATCACTGCTGGCCCTCCCTGGGCCTTTCCTTTCAGAGGAGGCAGAGGGCCTGGAGATGGGGGCAGCCAGGGGAACTGAGGTAATTGGGGTCTTCATAGCTGAGGTTGTCAGCCCCCCCAGGTTTAAGAGGCCCCCCGGGGCTAAGAGGTCTGCTGCCTGGGGTTGTTCGCTTGTGCTGGCAACTCCAATCTGGGAGACCCCCTCCCCTTCCACACGAATCCCACTGAATTTGCCATAGAAACTGTGTCCGGGGCTTATGAGGTCAGTTGCGGAAACTAAAGGGTATGAAAAGTTTTTGTTTTTTGGTTCCAGAAAGCTTACAAGGGGCTCCTTGTCTTTGCCTATCCCTTGGATGATCGCGGAGATGTTCTTATTGCTAAGAATTTTCCGCTCCTCCTCGCTCAGAGTTATCTGATGATCGTGCACCGCATGGGTCACAAACGAGCGGACAAAGCCAAAGGAGAGCTTGCACAAGAAACACATCAGGATCGGCTTCCTCTTCCCGTAGAGTACAAAGCTCTCAAATTTGGACATGTCCACATTGTTGGGAACATCTTTGGATACGCAGGAACTTTTGGCAGAACCGTCACTGTTCAGGTAATCCCTGTTGCTTCTGTGGCGCACATCAAAGACACGGAAGCTGTGCAGGACAGGGCTGACGCCCACCAGGGTGGAGGTGCTGGGAAAGGCTTCATCCGGGCCTTCAAACCACTTCCCAAAGGAAGAGGCAATGTGGAAAGTGTTGATGATCTGCGGATAGACCTGAGGCACAGCCACAGCAGACTCCCCTGGCTTGGCTCCTGTGTTGGGGAGAGCAGAGTTCGCCAGGAGGGGCGGGAGCCCCCCACCTCCTTGACTCAGCTGACTGAGGCTTTCCACAATGTATGCTGAGCCATCTGGTTGGTAGATGATTTCTCCAGCCAGGTTCTCAATATCGCTCTCCTCCCCCAATTCCTCCTCCTCCTCCTCCTCTTCCTCTTCCCCCTCCTCCTCCTCGCCAGTGTCGCTCCTGCAGTCCTCTTGCAGGGAGAGCAGAGGATGGGCACTGGGACAGGGGGGCTCCATGTAGGTCTGTAAGCTGGCAAATGAGGCCGTGCATTCGTCACAGCTGCCTTCCTTGCTGCTGGGCTCAGGGCTGCAAGCAGAGGCTGCCGAACTTCCTGGCGAATGCTCACAGAAGGGAGCCCGCTCGTTGCCTAGCTGGCCCACTGCAGTGGACCTCGTGTCATCAGGTGCGCTTGGGAGATGGTGAGCACTGCCAAACTCAGTCCACTGCTGGTGCTGAGGTCCAGTGTCTCTAAGGTCCTTGCCCAGGATGACCGGCAAATCACAGCCTTCCATCGTCAGCTCTGCAGTCAGCATTCATCGCACCTGGCACGACTGGGGCCTAAAAGTGGGCAGGGGGAAAGACAAAGAAAAAGCTTGTCAGCCAGGCCTGGCCACTCCACACGCCCAGCCCACTTTGCCCCCAAAAGCAACTCTTGGCAAGAGTTCACCGAGCCAGAAAGGGAGGGTACATTTACCGCAAGAAGGCCCCAACCCTCCTTCAGAGCCTTTCCAGAGCTGGCTCAAGAACGGCTCTAAGCTGTTGGTCGAAAGACCATCGCCCATTCAGTGATTCTGTTACCCAGCGAGTGTTTCCTCCCTCCCACACTAAGGGAGGCATCTAAAAGGTTCTTCTGAAATCCCCAGCCCTGACTAGCCCACAGTGCTTGTGGAGTCCATTCTCAGGCACCTTCAGCCATGCAGAGATCCAAGGAGGAGGTACACACCCTGATTTGAGCTCTGCAGAGAGGGCCTCCCGGGACCAGTCCTGCCCCTCGTCCTACACTCTCAAGCTCCATTAGGTTCACAGGAGACCAGCTGGGGCAAAGCTAGGACCAAATGGGCCTGGTCCAGCTGGAGAAGCGAGAGGCCAGAGGCGGCCCTCTGCTCAACAGCCATAAGCCTGCAATAGAGGGGGGAGACAAGTGAGGGCTACCCACTGCCCCATCTTGCCTTGCATTTCCCACTAGGACCAAGAGAGCAGGGAAGCCCTGGCCAAGGGCAGCAGGATGATGGATGTCCTGCTGGAAGCAAAGGCAGAGGGTGGGATAGCAACAATGACCCCTCCCACTTGGAGAGCTACTTAATGGTTTGAGGGTTTTTTTCTTCAATGGCTTTTAACTTACATTTTTGCTACTTCTTCATAGTGCTTCTGTGTGTATATCTGCGTACACACACAGCCATGTAGACACACACACTTTTCATCTATGTGCAACTGACCAATTTGAGATGTGAAGCCAAGGGCCCAAGGCTGCTTCCCGGCACAGCTGAAGCCATGGAGGCCTGACTGACAGGCTGGACAAGTTGGCTGGCAGGGTGGGGAAGGCAGGGGAGGGGGTTAACCGCCTGATTGCAAAATCAATGTCATAAATGCTTGGTAAGTTACAGGAACAAGCGGGAAGAGAAGGCCAGGATTGATAAAGGGCTGTGGCTTTGATGCTGCACTGGGGACTTGTTTATTGACAGCCAGGCCGATCTTCCCTGCAGGCCAGGCCAGGCCAGGCCAGTCAAGCCAGCAAATGCTTTCCAATTAATTGGGGCTCTCTGGCCGCCCTCCCTGCTCTGTCAGGGCCAGGCAAAGCCCTCCAGTCACCAGCCAGAGCCTCACTGCCAGCAACACTTCCCGCCCCCGACCTGCACCCAGGATTACAGCAAGGGGATCTGGCATCTCGACCAAGCCCCAGCCCTGGATTCCAGATCCCATGGATTGTTCCGGGCATCCCCCGCTACTCCCCCCCCCGCTGCAGTCGTTAAGGAAAGGTAGCTCTTATTCAAGAAGGCAGGTCGATCAGTGCACTGTCTGTAAACATGTTTCCCGTAAAATCAATGATGTTCAGTTAGAGAGCACTGAGACTGGGAACCCCCAGCCCTCCGCCCAGCTCCTGATTGGCAGCGCCCTCTTATCCCAAAGCTGCCCCACCCCGCCCTGGCACTCCTGTAATAAGGTCCTTTTGCTCAGGGCTATCCAGTTCTCTGGTGGCTCCTGGATGAGAACTGAAGGGCCATTTCCAGCTAGGACCAGAACAGGAGCCAAGAGAGAATCCGCAGCACCAAGGGCAGCAACAATGCCAAGCATTCACTCTTTTATTGTTGAATTTAAACCCTGCCTTTCTGTTTATTCCAAAACTCAAGGCAGATTGCAATAAAAAATATGAAGTATAAAACTGAACAAAACATAAATATGATTAATACATACGTTTTAAAAATCAATTTGGTCCAAACCAACATTAAAATTAAAACCAGTAATTACAATAATTAAATTATTGTTTTATATATCATATGATATATATGATTGATTGCACAGATTATTAGACTGGATTTGGCATTCTTCTCTGCCTATCGAATCCTTCCCAACGACCTGGGATTAATGGTTTGATGGTGTTAAAGGTATTGTTGAGGCAGGATGTAAGTTGTTCCAATTAAAGCTGTTTTTTTGCAATTGACTGAGGCCAATTTTGTCTTTATTTTTAACATCTGCATATTTGCAATGGGTAAATAACTTTCCTTCCAATAGACCTCCAGTTGCTGGCCCTGGTTGCTCAGCCAACAGTCCTGAGTCCTTTAGCCAGGAACACCTCACAGCTAATTAGTCAGGGAGCTTCCTTCAAGAGAGTCCTACTGCTGCCCCAAACTCATACAGAAGAAGCCAATCACTTTGGAAGGTTCTGCAGTCCAGAACCAGCTGAAAGGCCAAAGGAAAGAAATTAGCCCAAGTCAACCCAGCCTGAAACAGCAGCAAAGCCCATCTCTGGCAGGTAGAAAACAGGTTGGCTGCTATCATGTCATGAACAACCGAGGCTCAGCTATAGGAGGCATCTGTGGGCAACCTCCTGATCTTGACATCAAAAAAAAAAAAAAAAAAAAAAGAGGCACCGAACAAATCCAGGTTTTAAGAGAATGCAGAGCTCTATCTTTCCCTGCCCCAGAACTCCCAGAGTTTCCAAACCAACATGCTTCTCTCTTTGGTTAAGTAAAGGTGAACAATTGATCCTCAAAGCCAACACTAAATGAATCCATGGAAGGATACAAATTGTTCAAAAGAAATAGATGTACAAAAAGAGGAGGGGGAGTTGTATGTAAGAGAACACTACATATCTACAGAAATGCATGTGATCAAAGATAAAATCCCTCCAGAATGTATATGGGTTAATATAAAAGGGGGAAAAGTGACGTTGCCATAGGTGTATATTACAGGCCACCCAACCAATCAGAAGAAATAGATGAACTCTTTGCCAACTGGTTAACAAATGTGTGTAGGAAGCATACCACAGTAGTAATGGGAGATTTCAACTATCCAGATATCAACTGGGAGACCAACTCTGCAGCGAGTGGGAGAACAAACAGATTCCTAACCAGCCTAGCCAACAACTGTGTCATCCAAAAGGTGGAGGTGGGAAGTAGAAGTAAAGCTAAACTGGACCTAATTCTTACTAATAGAGAAGACGTGATAGAGGGAGTTGAAGTTGCTGGAACCTTGGGTGAAAGTGACCGTGTCATACTGGAATTCAAAATAATACAAACATAGGCAATATAAACTAATCCAACCAGTGTCTTAAACTTCAAAAGAGCTGATGTTAATAAACTCAGAGAGAATCTAGGAAAGATTCCATGGATGAAAATCCTAAAGGGAAAAACAACTCAAGAAGCATGGGAAACTCTGAAAAATGTGATCATAAAAGCCCAGTCCAGCACAATACCACTGAAAAAGAAAAACAAGAAATTCAAGAAGAAACCAGCATGGCTGCACAAAGATCTCTCTGACAAACTGAATGACAAAAAGAGCAAGTACAAAAAATGGAAAGAGGGACAAATAACTAAGGCTGATTATCAGCAGACAGCTAGAACATGCAAAGATAAAGTCAGGAAAGCAAAGGCTCAAAATGAAGAAAGACTTGCAACAGAAATCAAGGACAATAAAAAAAGTTTCTTTCAACATATTAATAACAAGAAAAAAGTCAAGGAAACTGTAGGTCCGCTAAAGAGAGAAGATGGCAAGGAAATAATAGGCAGTAGAGAGAAAGCAGAGCTGCTTAACTCATTCTTTTCATCAGTCTTCACACAAAAAGAAATCATAGTCCAACATACCAAAAAAACTACTGCAAAAGACAAATTAGAAACAAAAATTAAAATAAGCAAGAAAATAGTAAGAGAACACCTATCCCACCTTGATGGATATAAATCACCAGGACCCGACAGATTTCATCCCAGAGTTTTGAAGGAGCTGGCAGATGTTATCTCAGAACCATTGCACCATATCTTTCAAAAATCTTGGAGCACCAGGGAAGTACCTGAGGACTGGGAAAGGGTTGATGTGGTTCCCATCTTCAAGAAAGAGGGAAAAAACAGACCCAGGAAACTACAGATCAATCACTCTAACATCAATACCTGAGAAGATCCTGGAAAAGATAATCAAAAAATAGATCTGCAAACAACTAGAAGCAAACATCTTATTTCATTCTTTGATAAAGTGACTAAACTAGTAGACCAGCAAAATGCCATTGACATAGTATTCTTAGATTTCAGTAAGGCATTTGACAAAGTTGACCACAACCTACTTCTTGGCAAGCTAGAAAGAGGCGAAATAGACAACATCACTACCAGATGAATTTGTAGCTTACTGACAAACTGTACTCAACAAGTAGTCCTCAATGGTACTACATCCACATGGAGAGAAGTAAGCAGTGGGGTACCACAAGGCTCTGTCTTAAGCCCAGTACTCTTCAATATCTTCATAAATGACAGATGAGGGAATAGAAGGGGAACTCATCAAATTTGCAGATGACACTAAACTAGCAGAAATAGCCAATAACCCAGAAGACAAGCTCAGGATCCAAAAAGAACTTGACAAACTTGAATAATGGACCCTATCCAACAAAATGAACTTTAATGTGGAGAAAAGCAAAGTTTTACATTTAGGCAGGAAAAAAATCAAAGGTATAAGTACAGATTATGCGAGACTTGGCTCAAAAACAGTAGCTGTGAGAGGGACCTTGGAATCCTACTGGATGATCGCTTGACTATGAGCCAGAAGTGTGCAGCAGCAGCCAAAAAAGCTAATACAATCCTGGGTAGTGTAAACAGAGGCACAGAATCAAGATCACGCAAAGTATTAGTACCGCTTTATAAAACCCTAGTAAGACCACACCTGGAATATTGCAGCCAATTTTGGTCACCATACTACAAAAAAGATGTTGAGACTTTGGAAAAAAATCAGAGAAGAGCAACTTAGATGATCAAAGGCCTGGAGACTAAAACATATGAAGAACGGCTGCAGGAATTGGGTTTGGCTAGTCTAAAGAAAAGAAGAAATAGGGGTGACATGATAGTAGTATTCTAGTATTTGAGGGGCTGCCACAAAGAAGAGGAGGTCAAATTATTCTCCAAAGCACCAGAAGGCAGGACAAGAAACAATAGTTGGAAACTGATCAAAGAGAGAAGAAACCTGGAATTAAGGAGAAACTTACAAACAGTGAGGACAATTAACCAGTGGAACAACTTGCCTTCAGAAATCGTGGGTGCACCATCACTGGAGATTTTTAAGAAGAGACTAGACAGGCACCTGTCTAGAATGGTATAGGTTCTCCTGCTTGAACAGAGGGCTGGACTAGAAGACCTCAATGGTCCCTTCCAGCTCTATTCTGTTCTGTTCTGTTCTGTTCTGTTCCAGAAGGAAGCTGTTTGGGAGGCAGTACGAATGGAGGTGTGTCTATTAACACATGAAGTAACTCATAATTGGTATACCTACCATCTGAACTAATAAAAATTGCAAATAAGCCAAGAGATCTTCCAGAGAAATGTAAATCCCTCCCTGACCTTGAAGCCACCTGCCTAGATAACCTATAAGATATTTGTGGACAAGTGGGAAGCCTCTGTGGAGACCCAGGTGGCCATGGTACCCGGGCAGTTAATTCATTTGTGTCTCCCTGCCCCCAATTCAAAACAGCAGAACACACCCACTCTGATCACTAGTTTGTCAATACCTGGAACAATGGACTCAGCTACGGAATCTGCATGCTGCAGTTATTCTCCCTGGTTCTTTGCACCTTTTAGAAAGAAACCAGAAGGATCCATGCTGCTTGGAGAATGAAAAGAACCAGAATTGCATTGTTTGGAAAACTGGGAAAGAGAATCAAGAAAAGACATGTTATGGCAAATTCCTGTGACCAGGGACACCAATCAAGAACCCAGTGGCCTATTTTCCATCAGCATGAATTTGGGATGACTAGCAAAAGGACATGGGATCAATTTAATAGGCTTACGACTGAGGTAAATATGATCTAGCGGGAGATACAATTTTAGACTGTGTTATAAATAAAACACAAAATCACAGGAAGTAATTGTTCCACTATATTCTGATTCCTTCAGACCCAGCTTCCACTTCTGGGTCCACCTCTGGACTTGAACGTAAAGCCAGACTCAGATAACGACAATAAGGATAGTTGGAAAACTAAAAGTTTTGAAAGCCAGACTGAGAAAGCTGGGTATGCTTAGCTTTGATGAGGGAAGACTGGAAAGAGGATCAAGACCTCAAGTCTCTCTCATACTACGTGCCAGGCACAAAACAATGGATTTAAATTAGTGGAAGGCAGGTTAGCACTGAGTGTTAGGAAATTTATGAGCTTCAGTTTTCTTTTGATAAGGCAACAATCAACTCCGCTCCACAGAAGTAGAGAGAGGTGGACAGC